AATAAAATGACTCAAATATTTCTTAAAAGTTTCAAAAAGGGTTTTGGTCATTATATTTTATCGAAGATTTGTTTTAATATTTTTTTTAGGTGCGCCCTTTTGAGATGATGACACGTACCACACGTGCCAATTTTATATTCATATAATTAGTACAAAAAACTCAAAAAAAAATACTCTAAGATGTCGGATCTAAATCAAATAGTCAATGACTCACATGATGTCTAGATAGGAGGAAAATATATATCTCCCACGCCATACAGAAAGTATAGAAAGCTTTCCCTATAATCTTTTCGTACCCTGAAACTTTCCAACAGCCTCTCTCAACATGCAAGTCACAGAAAATGCGTTGGCAAAAACCTAACCGTGGTCTTGAATGATGCATTATAGTATCTGGATTAGTAGTTTGAGTGGAAACATCCATATGCTGGCTTAACATTCCAAAGAATTATCTATCAGTAAGTGGAAGAGTTTTATGGTGGTTAAACCTCTCACTTTCCCCTACCTTGTCAATGTCCATTTTTGGCCCCATGTAGGGCATCTAATTTTCCAAAAAATGGAAGTACTCTCTAATTCATTTAGTTATTGCTGTGACGGGTTACATAGGGCTGCAGTCCTATCAAAGTAAGTAAAAGCTGGACCTCATAACTCATCCAAAAAGTACAATTCAAGCATTGGGAAACTTTTACATCGATTATCTCAACGGGAACATTATGGCTGTGAAGAAAAATAGGATTTCAAGTTCTAAAAAAAAGGTATATTGTTACAAATTATCTAAACCATCAATTTCGCTCTAAAAACAAATGCATCTATACCATTTTTTGGTTTCAAATGTTATTGTTGGTGTTGGAAATTGATTTAAGAGCCATCATGGATATTTCATTGATAAAGCTTTTTATTTATTTTGTCATTCCATTTATCAAGAAACAAAAAGTAAAACACAAAATATAGACACCAACTTTTTCAACCCTCTTAATAAACTATTAAAAAATTAATATTTTTCATTGTTCATCAGGTTGCTTATTCATATGAAATTATATGACGAGATTTTACTGAACTGAAAAAAAATGTGGCGAAATAATCTGAACTGACTATGTGATTACAGGTCCAGGATGTTCATCAATTGCATATGGTGCTTCTTTGGAGCTGGGCCCATTCCTGATTAGAAATAATCAATCCAAACTGATATTCAACAATTACTCTTGGAACAAAGGCAAGTACCTCTTCTACAATTTCTAGGGGAAATGACCATAATACCTCCCAAAATGTTTTCTGTTACGTGAGCATTTGCTAACTAAAGGTTGAAAAAGCTAATTTTAGGAACAAAAGAAGAAAAAGACATTAAAAAATATTGAAGTATATATCCATATTATCTAGGACTTTCTCATTCAGATAAAATGTGCCTTTCAATCAAAGAAATTTTTTTTAAAGTATTTTAATTACAAATTTTTTTTATTGGGGTTACAACCTTAAAATGTAAAATTAAAGGTGCTAAAAAATCCATCATAAAAAGTTGTTTGGATATTGAAAAACCCTCTAATTGATCATCTCGACATTGAGACATATGAATGTAAAAATAAAAAAGATTTCGAATCTGCGACGTAGTTTATCTTGCAACATATTATCTAGACCGTCCATTTTCAAGATTTTCATGTGCTTATAGATCTACTTGATTTGAACTATTTTTAGAGTTTAAAATTTTGTAATTAGAGATGAAAATAGATTCTCAAACCATCCTAAAATTATTTGATATTATAAATATAAATTATATTTATAATAAAATTTAGAGGTGCACCTTAATTGGCTTGTTTAAGGTTGCAACCTTATGCAAACCACACCCTTTTAGCAATTGGGCCTTTTGCTCGTAGCAGCTTACCTTCAAAGTTTGCCATTTTAAGTAAAATTGTTTGGTAAAAATTTGAATATTCAAATTTCACCTTTGTAACTTCATTTATGTTTTGAGGTATTAATATTTTGGAATTGTTAGGAATTCCTGGGAAAGATCCGAGTGATTTACTCATTTTTGCCAGTTTTCATCTTCTATTTGTACAAAATTTGCCTGAAGCTTTTCGTTTGAAAGATTAAACCGCAGTTTTGGCCGTGTTTTAAAAACCAGATTGGCCAAGTGGACTGGCCATACAGAAATCCTATCCAAATTGGTGAATTGAACTGAAACTCCAGTGTGAGAATCAGTCCAAAAATTTAAAAACAAATTGCAATAATAAGGAAAAAAACATAGTAAAAAATTCAACGTGTGATAACTAGGGTGGTACCGAGCGAGTCCAAGGGAATGGACCTATTCTCCTGTTCTGACAAGGAGCTAGGTTAGTGTGGACCACTTCTGGATCCTCATTGTGCTGGTTTTCTAAACACTAGTATTTAGCAGTATTTGAATAATAGGCCGAGTCGGATTCGGCTGAGTTACTCAGCCTTGGCTGCTGAGGCAAGTAAATTGTACATAATCACAGGGTGAGATCCTTCCAAAGTTCTAGTCTGCCCGAGTTCTGAAGTACTCAGGTGAGTCGCTAAATGTACTATTGCCGAAACAAAAAAAAGAAAATAAGACTAGGACTGGACTTTGGAGACTCAATACTATAAGAAAAAAGAAAAATTCATGTAACATTTGGACCTTGGAGAAAAACAATGAATAGTCAAAATTCCAGTCAAGCCATATAAAGAGGGGCAATCTTTCAGTGTAAACTGCATGTTACTCCATTATTCAGAGGTCTGAAGCTTGGATTCTCATTGTATTCTCATTGTGCAAATTCACACAGTGGCGAACCTTCTGTTCCTTGAGGCACCAGTTGGTGTAGGTTATTCATACACCAACAAAAGTGAAGATTTGTTGGTGCTTGGGGATCGTATCACTGCAGAGGACTCTCGCACTTTCCTCTTGAATTGGTTTAAAAAGTTTCGTAGCTTCAAGTCCCACGATTTTTACATTGCTGGAGAAAGCTATGCAGGTACTCTCTCTCCCTCTCTCTCATCAATAGATCTACTTTACTCAGCTAGCTATATTTTTCAATCCTTCATTTAGGTCATTACGTACCTCAGTTGGCTGAGCTCATATACGATGGGAACAAGCACTCAGGCAAAGAGTCTTACATCAATCTTAAAGGAATCATGGTAGGTTTCTCACTTCGCCACCTTAAAAACCTCCATTTTGCTTTTCTGTGGAATATTTTGATACTTTTTGTGCATTTAGAACTTCGTAATCTTATTGGTAGTTAAACTCTACATTGGTCGAACCATTTTTCTGTTAAGTGGTTTTCAACGTTTTGAAGAACTTTATTCTTATGAATTCACTCATTTCTCCCTCTCCAAAGTAATCTCTATTGCCTATTTTAAAAAGTTTTTCACTTTGTGTATTTATAATATCATCATGTAATTGGTAGTTAAACTGACTAAGTTTATTAACTGTTATTCTGTTAAGTAGATTTCAACTTTTTGATGAACATTGCTGTTATGGATTAGTAGTGAAACATTGGGAAGGTAGCCATCTCTCTGATTATTATCTATGAAATCCTAGGTTTCTACCTCATGTCCTCCCTGTGCAAATCTCGAAATTTGCGTGTAAGAGCAAATATTTTTCTTCTTTTTATATTACTCATATTAGGAAGTTGATTTAGGAAGTTGATTTATTATATAGGATAGTTTCTGTAGCTACTCAACTTTATAACCTTATAAATCAGGGGTCTTGTTCACATCTTTGATAAGATCAATAATACATGTTGACTTAAGGATCTTGTTTGGGCCTTCCGGTCTCTATTCGGAGGCTCTTTCCATCCTTGTTCTGCAACATATTTCGTGCCATAATCTCGTCTCTGCAACTTATTATTTTCACGCAATCACATTAGCTTATCGTAACCCCAATCCACACCTCCAGTTCCTGAACCCTCGTTCCCCATTCCTTCTACCAATGAGCCAAACATTGGCTATGGCTTCCACATGTTAGAGAGGAGGACCATAGTGTTGGCAAATGGGAGTGTTCGCTCCTATTTTGTCCTTCCTCCTGATCCAAACCCTGATTTTCCTAACCTTGACCTCCATTGCTTTTGTCCTGATCATGCAACTCTAGGGCTTGAAAGGAGTGGCCCTATGGAACCCGAGGGTTTTGATCCAGGTTTTCCAAGGAGAGAGAGTAATTTGTCCATGGGGTGTGCTTTCGACCTCCATGGTCCACTCAAAAACCTTCGAGATCCACAGGAAAACCGTGGTCCACCAGAAAACTTCCATGGTCCACATGAAAACTCCATGAAAAGGAAAAACCTACTCTCTGCTTCGTCCCCCTCTCTCTCTCTCTAATCTCTTGAAGAGAGAAACATAATTGAGATGTGTTCTATAATTGCTTTGGCCCATCTTAGAGCAGTTGTGCTCTTCTTTCTCGATGTTTCGGGGTCATGTGGTTATAGCATAGAGCAGCAGGCTGCTTTGGCTGACGAGACCTGCGATGAGCCCAAGATCAGGATGAACAAAGTTAGGAGGTCCAAGCTTAGGGCTCATCTTTGGGATGTGGTGTCAGTGCGTATGGGAAGCGTGTCCATATTCTACTAATTGCGGGCCTTACTGGAAATTTATTTGATGCTTATCTCAAATCTAATTTCTTGGAGGCATATCGTCCTGTAAGGAAAGGAGATATTTTCCTTGTTAGGGGTGGTATGAGGAGTGTTGAATTCTGCGTAGTCTTTTGCGGTTTCTAGATACCGAGATCTTTTGTGAAAGGGAGCCGGTAAAAAATAAAAATAAAAAGAAAAAGAAAATAAAAGGATGAGGAGACACTTGATGAAGTGTTGGTTATGATGATGTTCGCAGTACTAGGAAACGGATGGCTCAGATTAGAGAATTTGTTGAACTTCCTTTAAGGCATCTAAAACTTCTGTTTCTCTCTAGATCGATTTTCATGTGATTTCATCCTTGTTCCTATGGTCGTAACAGTTCTCAATCATCAGCAATATCTGACGAATCTAGTCACGCAAAATACCAACTAGTTTTGGGTCTTTTTCCGGCAAGGTATTTCAGATCTGGGTTACTTTTCCTTGCTGGAGTACGATGCAGATTTCAGGTTCAGTATTTATCTGACTCTCCGTGATCACAGTTTCGTTTTTCTGATTCTCCATTCGAAACCTCACCGCTTTATTTCTTGAAGCCATCAGTCAATATTCACATCTTTCTCATGGTTTTATTTCCCTAATTCAAGAATCTTTTGAAGATAGTTTCAAAATCCACTACATTTTTATTGGTATGTGTTGAGCCGGTTCTGAAACCCGTCTTAAAATCTACCTATGAAAACGGCCGATCTGCACCATCTACAAAACAGCCACCGAGTCGTTTATACTCTGATTTGTTTCTTTGTCAAGTTTCGACTTTTTAATTTGTCTCTATGTTGAGTCGTGTCTTTTACTCTTTAATTTATTTCTCTATTGAGTCGTGTTTCGACTCTATGACCTGTCTCTCTGTCGAGTCGTGTTTCGACTCTCTGATATGTTTTGGATCTTACTGTTCTCAACTTCGAATCTAAGATCCAACTGTGTTGTTGATTTGCCAAGGATTTCTCTTGGCTCAACCTCCTGTTTGATGATCGAATTTCTCGATCCCGAATGTTCCTGAGGTCACCGTCTGTTCCTGAGGAGGTCATCTGTTCCTGAGGCCATTTGTTCATGAGGCTGTCTATTCGTGGGATCTGCCGCTTTCTTTGCTTGTTGTTCAAGCAATCTGATCATGGAGACCACTACTTCTATCGGTCATGCCTTGCACCTGAAGACTTGATGTCGGTTTCTACGGATCGTTAATTTGCAGCTGCTCAAGCTTCTTCTGTTTGTGCTTTGTTACTAAGGCCTGCGTTCATATGTCTAAACTCAAGTTGCTCTCTCTTAACTCATCTTGAGTTTGAGAGGGAGTGTGAAAATCTAAAAACTTGCACTTATCTTTAGGAATAATATTTTCTTTTCTTTTATGTCTACTCATATTAGTTAGTTTCTAGAGTTCTACACAACTTTGTAACCTTATATATTAGGGCTCTTGTTCACATTTTTTATAAGCTCAATAATACATCTTTATACCGGCTTAAGGCCCAATTATACAGAAATATAGTTTCTCACACTCCTTACATTAAAAATCTTTACAATTCTTTCTTTGATGATTTTTCACTTTTTGTGCATTTAGAACATCTTGATCTTATTAGTAACTAATCTGACTAAATTGAAGAATTTTTATTCTGCTAAGTTGTTTTCAATGTTTGAACGTTATTGTTTATGTATTAGTAGTGAAGCAATGGAAAGTTCGTCACCTCTCCGTCTCATTCTTGTCAATGAAATTTTTAGATAGGAAATGCGGTGATGAATGATGAAACAGATGAGATGGGCATGATCGACTATGCTTGGAGCCATGCCCTTATATCAGATGCGCTCTACCACACCATTAAGAAGGAATGTAACTTCAAAAGTGATAACCAAACCATTCCTTGCCTCCTGGCCATGAGGAGCTCCATGGAAGTTTATGAAGAAATTGACATTTACAGTCTTTACACACCCATCTGCCTCGCTACTCTCGACAAAACATCTAGAAAGAGGCTTCTCACCCATAGCCGCTTGTTCTCTAGCAATGTAAGTATGAACTATGGGAAAGCATACCATGATACATGTGTCATGGAAACAGTATGATATATGTTGTTTATACTCTGCATCTCAACAAGGGGTGATTGGAGATGAGCTGGACATCCTCAAGTCTGCCATTGCCCACTCAAGCAGAAGAACCGGTCATCGCCATCGTCTATTGTTGAGTATTGACTGTGGAGATGACATATAATATTAGCAGTATAATAAATGCAGCATACTATAGATTCTTATAACTATATATGTATTTCGTGAGCTAACGTTGGGTAGCAATTACAAATTATTTATCCAACAAAAAAGGGTAGATACATGTTTTTTCCCATATTTGAAGCTTTTACACTGTTTTGTTTTGGGGACAACAATTTGTGGGATTTTGAATTGAGAATCATGTCTTCCATGGAAAAATGGCAAAAAGAACAAGTAGTCAAGAGAAATTTATTCTGCCACTGATGAAACTTTGTAGGGTGTCATGTTAAGAGTTATATATTCCATAAGAAATGACGAAGAAGGACTGGTGTTATACACCAAAATCTTCTTTTAGGCAGTTTCGTCCATTAATGGATCACGTTGAAAATCTTTGCTTTCTTATTTACAGTTTTGAAAGAAACCAATATTTTGAAAATGCTTCTTTTCAACAGGACCTAAGGGGCATGCTCCCTTCTGGTTATGATCCTTGCAATGAGCACTACGCAGAGGCTTTTTTTAACCGAAAGGATGTACAGAGAGCTTTGCATGCTAATGTCACAGATCTGCCTTATGCATACAGTTCATGCAGGTAAATATCATAACTTTGATCCAATCATCTTCCTTTATTTTTTCTTATTTTCCATATATTCATAAGATAATGTTTTGGCTTGGCTTTCATCTGATGCTCTGATTGCAGAAAGTGTGTCTAGCATATAAACATCTAAAGTCAGAAAAAATGCCAAAAACTGGAGGGGTGCCTTAACATACTTTCAGGAAATAGTACTAAAGTGAGGATCTCTTAAATCTGCAACAAACAACAGAAGTGATGGAAAAATTTTTGAAAAAAATCCTATTTAAAATTGTGATCTTTGATTCTAATCTATGTAATCATGGCGCTTAAATAGGTTTCTCTAATGGAATTAGGTATTTTATGGTAGCAATGCTTATAGCTCAATGTCATCACACTTGAAATGACTTATTGGTAATCCTAGGAGAGTGGGGCATAAATTTGGAAGATCCTTAGATGCTTCCTCTTCCTTTCCTTACAATATTTATCTTACACGATGCCATACTGTCAAGTAAATCCATTATGCAGCCACGAAGTGTAGACTCATTACAAATTTTATGGTTAACTTTAGGGAAAATCTACAATAAGACTATTTACTTTGTTATAAGAAGGTGACAATCATCCCTAGCCATTAGATATATGGTCAAGCAAATGAGGGTGTGCCATTGACTATGCTCAAAGTTCAAAAAAAAATTTCTGAACTTTGTGACACACCCTAATGACTTAATTTCACATCTGGTTAAAAGCGATTGTGATCCTCTAGTATCAAAGGTAAATTGTCTTGTAGTATATAATCCCATAGCTTTTAAATATTAGGAAGACAAATTGTTGCTTTACAACTTGTCACTGGATTATCATAAAGCATGATGTTGTCAAATATTAGATTGTTTTCTGGTAGCATGATGCTTAGATGTTTGATAAGAGTGCAAACACAATCATGGCAGTGATTTGGATATCCATCAAGTAATTCACATGAATTTTACTGTCTTGTTATGCAAATGAGTTTTGCTGAAAGTTTTGAAACATTAAACCCTGCATTCTGTTGTGCAGTGAAGTCATAAAGAAATGGAATGATTCTCCAGAATCCATTCTCCCCATCATCACCAAGCTCATTACAGCTGGCCTGCGCGTTTGGGTTTACAGGTACAAGAGAATACACTCCCTCGTTGAGACACATCAATTGTTTCCACAAACAGATTCTATCAAAATGCTAGCTTTTCTTGAATGGAGTTCGCAATGTTTTCACACTCTTTATTTCCCACTGCAAAATGACATTTATAGTGTTATTACGGTACTTTAGCCTTAGGATGGTGTCGCATGTAGATACATGTCAATTCGGCACTGGAGAGTACTTACTTTGGTATATTAAAACTAATTAAATATTACGAATGGGCTCAAGGTGGGATTTGAACTCTAGCCATTCTAGCTTGGAATCCTCTACTCTAGAACCTCCATCCACCTCTCATTTAGACTATAAAATCTATATTGTATCTATAAAAATTCTAATAGTTTATTTGCTATCATATCGATGCATGAGTCATATTGGCTTTGTAGGTGGAATTGTTAGATACCTTCGACACTTGTAGACAGTGATACTTGTGTTGGTGGTATCCATGTAATACTAAATATTGTAGTGTTATTAGTTCAGACATTGGCTTTTTCCAGAGTTCTCCAGCATGGCTAAGTGTTTTCGAAGGTTTTCTAGGTTCGGTCTCACTCAAAGTTTGGTGTTCTACCATGCTGGGTTGAGAACCATTCACAGTTCCCCGGGTTCAAAATTTTCATTGAGCCTCAAAAGCCCATTCTCATCTAATTATAATTTACTTATGGAACAAATTTTTTTCAATTAAGTTTTTGGGTTTTAGCTGGATTTTGGATGTGAATTCGAAAACATATTCCCTCACAGCTCCAAAACTCGGGAAAACATTTTTGTTTTATTTCTTTATTTCTTTTCTTTTTTTGTAATTTCAGTGATTAAAAAATTGTTGATCCGACTCAGAGTTACTCGAGAATCCTATTCCAATACTGAGGTTTAAGATTGGAGGAACCCAGACACAATTTTTCCCTTTTTAGTTTATTTTTATTTCTTTGTTATCCGTACACCGATATTGGGAATAGTTCCACTAGGACCGGACGAATCAATCAGACTCCTGGCCATTCAGAGCCCGATTCCAATCACTGATTTATTTCCTCAAATTGACTTCTTTTTTTATGTGTGGAATAGTGGGGACACAGATGCGAGGATACCAGTGACTTCAACAAGATACAGCTTAGAGATATTGGGAATGAAGACTAAGGTTGGGTGGAGGCCTTGGTTCAATGAGGGGCAGGTTGCAGGGTTTGCTCAAGTTTATGAGGGTGGCCTGACCTTTGCCAGTGTGTATGGAGCTGGTCACCAGGTACCTGTGCTTAGACCTCAACAGGCTCTCTCTCTCCTCGTTCACTTCCTTGCAGGCGACCCTCTCCCCCCTTCCAGGTTCTAGTGCCATTAACAATTGAGAGAAATTGACTGCTTGCTCGTGGAATTGTTGCTCTCTCTCTCTCTCTCTCGCTCGCTCTCATGAGTATTTAATCAATCAATGCTCAACTTTCATACGTTTCACTCGGAAAAACTCTTTAACATCTCATTCGTGATTATTTAATCAATCAATGCTCAATGCTAATTCATTTCCTTAGCCCCGTAGAGCTGGCCCAGCCCACCCCGAACCGCCCAAAGAGGCCCTGGCCCTACTGGGGCTGGGCCGGGTTGGACCAAACCAAATAGAATTACAGAAAAAAAAGGTCGTGCTGGCCTTGTCTTGGACCTGGACCATACCCAACCCAGCGCTACCCTTAGTCCATGTCTTAGACATGGCCCGTGCCTAGCCCGGCACTACCCTCAATCCATGACGGCCCAGCCCTTGAGATTTTGTGACAAAGGCCCTAGGTTTTTTAGAGTAAGCAGGGCGACCCCCAATTGCTATCTCACCGTTGCTCTCTATTGTGATTAGTCTCCCTCGTAAACCAAGCAATGGATTTCTCCCTCTGATTTCAATCGATCCCTTTGAAGCTTACTACGTGGAGTATGTAATGACCCTTATATCCGTTATAATGGTGCAATGACCCTGATCTAACGGCTTATCCTATAATGTGTTTTTAACCTATCACAAATCAGCGTGAAAAGAGAAAATATAGTTAATATTTATTATTAAAAAAACAGTTTTTTTGAGAAAAAGGAAAAATTTTATATAGAGCCGAGGCTCTAAACAATCAAATTAGAGCCCACATAAAAATTTCACTAGAACATGTTGTTTTGATGTCTAAATATCCTCAAATTGATCATCTCAACATCAAGATGTATGGACATGATAAAAAAATGGATTTCAAGTTTTAGAAATGGTACATTTTATAATGTATTTTTTTTATCGTCAATTTTCAAGATTTTCAAATTTTCATAGATATGCTTGATCTACACTATTTTTGAAGTTATAAATTTTATAATTAAAAATACAAATATATTTTAAGGTTATCACAAAGATTTCAGTATTGAAACCAAATTTCTTGACACCAGTGCACTTTACTTTGATTGTTTAGAGCCTCGGCTCTATACAAAACACACCCCATAAAAAAAGGCCTTTTCTTATGAACTTAAAAAACTATTTTTACATTTTTAAGATATTTGAATTATTCTCTCCACATTTTTTTCTTCTTTTTCCCATTAACTCTTTCTACGAGTTAGAGTCCTTGTACTGGTTAATGGAAAAATAGATTTTCTTTTTTAAGTTGCCCTTGAGTACTGGCACCCATAGCCAAAGGCAGCAAGAGCTAAAACGAGCAGAAGTGGTTTCAATGGCCTGAATTCTTTCTTTTCTAACTATTATAAAACTCGAAGAAACTATTCATGTTTGATCCCATTATGAGGGATTATTACGCTAAAATACTTATCATAGTCAAACGTGTGAAAATTAGTTTAAAGGCTTTTTTTTATTTTATATATTTTTTTCTAAAGGTGGTTTGGAGCTCCACGTCCACAACCAGCCTTATTCATAAAATAATATAAAATGAAACAAAAAAAAAGGCTTTGAACTAATTTCCATCTGTTTGACTGTAAGAAGCTTTTTTTGTCCACAATGACCTAAGAAAAATGCTTAAAAGTCAATGCAAAGGAAAATAGTAATAAGGCATTAAGTATAATAACAAAATTAGAGGGGGTCTTATCTATAGAAACTTTAATATAGCTGCGTTCATGTGATTTTCCGTTATTTTTAAACTTTGGAAAGCTACATCTTCTTATTTCTTTTTAGGGTGTGGTTAGCTCGAGGCTGCATCTTTATGGTAGGAAATAAGGTTTCAGATAAAAACTCGCCTAGAAAATGCAGTTCCAGTACCAATAACCCTTTTAATGCTTGAAAATCTATTTTTGTTCGTTACTATGAAATTTAAAGTTCCAAAACTAATGTAGATCTAACATATCTATGAATGATCCAAATTTCTAACATCAAATCCATAATTATCCCAAGATAATCTATATTATGGTTTCTACAACTTGAAAGAGTTGCACCAGGATTCGAGGTGGGGCTTTATTTTGTTTTCATAAGGTCTAGGCCTTATAGAAACTTCATCCATCATAATACTCAGGACGCTAGGTTGAACCATACTGGTTACCCAATATCGGCCCCGCTCAAAATTGCCCAAACTGGCTGGCTGGTTCTCTAGGGTTTTCCTGCATTAAAAAAAATAAGAAACAAAAAAATACAGAGGGAAAAACCAGAGGAATCTTAGGACCGAATCGGCTCTGAACTAATTGGACTATTTTTAATGTTGATCTATAATGTAGGAAAAAAATTATATTAGGTATCAACTTTATATAATTGAAAAAAGGCACACCTTGAAACTATAATGACCAAAATATCCTTTAAAAAAACTTTTTTAATTAAATATAATAATCAAAATATCCCTTGAAACTTTTAGAGATATTTTGATCATCTTATTGAGATTTATTATTATTTTTATTTTATTTTATTTTTTTTAAGGTGAGTCTAAGAGAGGACTGGACGTCCAAAATTTGGTGTCAAAATGTGTTTGTAGAAAAAATTAAAAATAGTGTAATATAAAGATGGATACAGTTTCTATAAGGTTGCAACCTTAAACAATCCAATTAAGGTGCATCGCCAATTTTTATCATAGCATGTAATTTTTTTGTAAATTTTTTTTAGGATTATCTCAAAATCTATTTTTGTATCTAATTATAAATTTTAGACTCCAAAAATGGTTAAAATCAAGTAGATCTATAAATATATGAAAATGTTGAAAATGGACGGTCTAGATAATGTGTTGCAAGATGCACTAATTTTTAGACTCGAAAACTTCTTTTTTTTTAATATTTATACATTTCGATATCGAGATGATCACTTAGAGGGTTTTTCAATATTCAAAAAGCCTTTCCGTTAGATTTTTGAGGTACGTATGTGATTCTACATCTTCATGTTGTAACTTTATATAAATTTTTCCTTATAAAGATATGACATTGTGATTGGGGTAATTTCAGAAGTATAAAAATAAACGGTTGGATAAGGGAAAATATAAATTATATGGAATAGGAAAAACATACTAAGCTTGCCCGTCGTAAATTCGGTTGAGCGGGTCACGTAGGCACCGATAATTTCAAATCGACGCAAAATTAGTGGTTGAGAAAGGGAGTGGGCAGCACGAATTCAAGTTTCATCCCCGGCCCTTTTAACCCTCCCATAATGTCTCAAGTGTGAGAGATTTTGCATTCGTATTAGTACTGATGAACTTTAGCAAGTCGGGTCTATCAATAAATCCGCTCACTATAAAATTGGAAATAAATCGTTTTTATTTAAAAAGTAAAAAATCGAAAATTAGAAACAAATTACTTTTATTTTAAAAAGTTATATGAAAAAATTGGGTAAAAAATACGGATTGGCAAAAATACTTCATACAAAAATATCTCTAATACATCGGATTAAGCTCAAAAAATCGGAGTAAAAAAAATCGGACAAATTTATAATATTAGAAAATTTGAAATTCTAAAAAATAAAAATCATGTCAAAGCCATCAATAACGAATTTATCCATAAAAACTTTACTAGATTAATATAATTAAGTCAATTAATTTAAATTGCCTTATGATTCTCATCCAATCATCCAATATTAAATACGTAATTAGCTAGTATATACCAAAAAAATATATCATATAAAATCTACCCATTAAATACTTTAAGAAACAGCACACCTACTTATTACATACCAAAAACAAATACAATATATAAAATTATTTAGTAAATACTTTAACTATAGTATGGTGACAAATATACTATATAAATTTATTCATTAAATACTTAAACATCACACCTACTTAGCAGTACCAAAAAATACTGCTAAGGCTGTAAACAATCAAATAAGTCTTTGTTTTGGGGAAAGTTTATATAGAGCCAAGGCTCTAAACAATCTAATTTGAGCCTACCTCAAGAATTTCATTAGAAGAGGTTGTTTTGATGCCCAAATGTCTTTTAATTGATCATCTCGACATCAAGATGTATGGACATGAGAAAAAAAATGGATTTCAAATTTTGGAAATAATGTATTTTGTAACATATTTTTGGACCATCGATTTTCAAGATTTTCAAGTGTTCATAGATCTTTCGATCTAAATTATTTTGAAGCTTTAAACTTTATTTTGAGTTTCATAATCTTAGTGTTTATGGTATAGAGAGAGAAGAAGGAAGAGAAGAAAATAGGACTCGGCTCATTACAGAGAGAAAAAGGAAGAAGGAAGAAGGAAGTGATCATCGGCTTCACAAACCCTAATGGAAGAGGCACTGATTGATTTTTAGAGAGAGAAAAGGAAGATGGAATGTTGATTTGGGATAGTTTGAAGAGGGTTTTTCTATAAGATTTGAGATGTTGATAGAGAGAAAACCCTAACTATATCGATTTGAGAAGAAGCCCGAACTGATTTTTAGAAAGCGAAAAAGAAGAGGGCCTTTCATTTTATTGGGGAAATAGCAAGCAGAGCTAAAGGATTAGGTTTGGGGAACTAATCCTATATGTACAATTGCTTGGTCCTGTAAGTTTACAATTTTATATTATATTATTTATCTTTGTTATCACATAATCAAAAACAAATTATTAATTACTTGGTCCTGTAGTCACACTCTCTGCTTCTAATTCATCAGTAAAAGACTATGTCTTGAGCTCTAATTTGTGCCATAGATAGTATTTTCATAAAAACAGTTGTCACAAATAATCACATAAATCTGCACGTATATGATTTTCTTTACATAATAATTTACCTTACAAAATGATTTGCAATAAACAGTATTTCATTTACACAATGATGTTCCATAATAACAACTGAAATCTGCAACTATTTGTTTAAGTTTTTTTTAAAAAAAAGAAAAAAAAAATTCATACCTTCAATTTGCAACTGTAGTTGGGGATAAAATTTTATATTTTATGTTTTTTTTTAAATAATAAATTTTTTTCAAAGGCATAAAAGTAGCAATGGCTACAATACACAAGACAGGGAAAAAAAAATTTTCTTTCAAAAAACAAATTATAGGTAAAAAAAGATAGGATTTTTTCGCCTGATTTAAATCATATTATGAAAAAATGTGTTTTAAACGTTTTTATGAAAACTACGCGATTTTTTGCTGACCTTTTTAAAAAGGCGTCGTTTAAAATTGTTTCCATAAAAAAGTATTTTTTGAAAAAAAATCACCAATTAAACAGTTATTTGCTGGTCAATAAACGGCTATTTGCTGACTAGGGCCAATAGAGGGCATTGTATTTACTATTTAGTAGCAATTCTCTTGTTCTCATAAGATGGGCAAAAGCTGTTTGTGTTCAAACCCTGCCCTTCACTATTCAATTCATAATAAACCTAATTTAAAATGAAAAAGTATGTAATAAGTGCTGCCCTTCACCATCTACTATTCGAATCATTTACTTTCGATACAAGATGGTCACAATTTATCTTGTCCATTATTAAACATGTAAATTAGATGGTTGCATTTATTCCATTGATCAAGTTGAAACTTCAAAAGAAGTTCTCTCAAATTTTGTGGCATATCCAAGCTATTAGATTTTATATTTAATGGTTGCAAGTAATCGTGACCTCCTTATATGAAAGGTAAATAATCTATTTATTCTATTGATTAGGCTCAAACTTCAAAAGAAATTTTTTTAAAATTTATAACACACACAAGCTATTAAATTTCATGTCAGATGGTTGTATCAAATGTAAATGGTCATTGCATTTATTCTACTGACCAAGCTCAAACTTCAAAAGAAATTTTCTCAAATTTTGTGATACACCCAAGCTATTAGAACTCATGTCGGATGGTTGTAAGTAATTGTGACCTCTTTGTATCGAGGTCAATAGTCCGATAGTTGTAAGTAATTGTGACCTCCTTATATAAAAGGTAAATGATCTATACAATCCTACTTTAAATCTTACAAAATGTAAGACTAAGTGGACATAAAGCATTATGCAAAAACTCAAAAATTATGAACCCATTGAAAACATAAGTAACAAATGGCTCATGCCATTTTCATGAATACCCAACGACATAAAATTTCAATGGATGGGCATTTATACTAATTATATTTCAACTGAAGGAAAGAAAACAAAGCATTGATTTCTGTTAGCTCAATTCATTAGAACGTCGTGCTAATAATACAAAGGTTGTCTTATAATGGATTTTTTAGAATGGCTTAGGCATTGGAGGTAGTATTGTCGAGCTATATGATGAGGTCTCCGACTTCATTTTCACCACTAAAAGATAGGGGACCAAATCTCTATTAACTCACCAAATTTTACTTACCCAAAAAAAGCTAAGTACTCCACCCATAAAGATCAAATCACCAATTCGAATAAGGGCCACTTGCTTACCACTTTTTACTTACCCAAAAATAACGGGGTACTCCACCCATAAAGATCAAATCACGGATTCCATATAATATGCTGCCTTGGCCTTGTAAGAAAATAATGTCTAGGTCACCAATTCACACAACTAGAGAAGAAAATATATTTTCATTGCCATTATAAAGTTTTTGCATCAAAACAACATCTCCGAACAAAATTTAGAGGTGCCCCTCGCTTCTACAGTGTGAGGCTTAAACCTCGCCCCTTCAAGTGAGCTTATTGTCGAATTGATTTATTTCTGCAGGTATTCCGGACCGTCCAATCTCCAATCACGCGCATTTGGAGATTACTCCTTGCACCTGAGAACGGAACTTACTCCCAGTGTTTTTGTATGGGCAATTACCCTTTCTGCGGAGGTTTCCATGGTGAAATCTAGGGTTTAAGAGCGGATCACTTACGAAGCTTTCCGGTACTCAACCATGGCGTCTCTGTTACTGAAATCCTTTAACAAATTCCGGCAGGTATTAATCTGTTTACTCCTAATCCATTTTAGCTCACCACTTTTCTTTTAGCTGGTTTTGAGTTACCATTCTCATTTTTATGGGTATAAGAACTTCAGTTATGAACTATGAGTCTCCATTGATCTTACACTCAAAATCCAGGGTTTAAGCTTTACTATGAAAATTTATTTCCGTTTTTCTTTTTTAATTGTTGGTAAATGTTCTTTTTTTTTTTAATTGTAATTGTTGTTACTTGGGGTTTTGGTTACAGAAATATTAGATTTGGTTGATTTTGTCTGTTATTTTTGTAGGAATCTTATGAAAATGATGTTACTTTTGTAGGTTGCTTATTAGAATATCTATCTTATTAGAAATATATTTGTTGAATTTTCCCAAAATGCCTTCTTTAGATCATTAAGACATGTCTGTTAATATTTTTCATTTTTTTTTGTTTTATTTTCCTTTTCTTTTGGTTATGTTTATGAAGGAGAAAATTAATAAATTTCGAGAAATTTCCTATAAATTTTTATGTTCATTGTTGTAGCTAAATGAAAGAAATTAAGGGACAAAGGATTTTATTGATTTTGGTTCATTTGTATAAAATGTAGCATGTTTTTTTTTTCCTTTCTTTTTCAGGGAGGATGTTCATGAATGAGAAAATTAATGAATTTAGGAGAAATCGTAGAGAAAATTTTATGTTGGTTGTGGCCTATCAAGTTAAATGAAAGAAATGAGGGGATAAAGGACTCTATTGGTTGTAGTTTATGTGTATAGAATGTAACATGGTCTGGAAGTTCTCATTAGTTATATGAATTTTCTATTTCTTGTTCCAGTTTGTAAAGGTTCTCTCTAAGAATTCAATGTTTGAAAAAGACCCTAGACAACTCCAGTTTGAAGCTGATATGAATCGCTTGTTTCTATATACAAGGTTAGTTATGTTGTTCTTACTAAACTATTGCCCATTGATCATGTTCTTGTAATAAATGATATGCTTTTCTCTATTGGTTAAATTGGCAGCATTCCGAAAGGGTACTCACGTTTTTGGAAGTAACTGTGTTCATTTGATGTGTATAATGGAACCTAAACCTTGAAAGAGTCAAATTAACCCCTTCTACCAATGACAATGACCAGAGCATCACTACTAGTCTAGCTTGTAATATTCTTAGATTTAAACTGTGCCTAAAAGGTTGGGGTTAGGCTTCAAACCACTAGGGGCCTGACCTGGTGTTCCCTGAGTTTGACTCAGGGAGTCCAAGTCAGACAACGAAATTTTTTATGTGAATTGAAATGGAGATTCAGAAGATTCCCGGTTTTTCTGACCTGGAATCACCTGGCTCCTGACCTGGGCTGCCTTGGGTGTGTCCCTAGAGGGCTGGGTGAATTTTTTAAACATGATATAACATGTGAAAATTTGAATAATAGCCCATACTCATGATATAACATGTGAAAATTTGAATCAACACAACAAAGTGAAACTAAACTAAATAATTTCTGAAAAAAAATTCTGCGATGGATTCATGAATAAAAAAATATGAATTGTGAAAAGGGGGATAGAGGGTGACCTTTTTTATTCAATTCCCTCTGTTTTCATCTATTGTCTATTATCTTTTCCAGCTATAATATATTGGGGAAGAATGCAGATGCGAAGGACGCTGAGGAGATCATTGAAATTGCAAGCAAGGCATCAGTTGGTGATCAGCAAAAGCAAGTCCAAGAAAATGTTCATGCCCAAATCAAATCATTTTGTGCATCAATGGATGAAATTCTTCTACCCGAGTTGAACAATTTTACTAATGTGAACGATTCCACTGCAAAACAACGGCTGTCTCCTAGTCGTCCAAGTGGTCTCAGTTTTGCCCTAGGCAGAACATCCCCACCTGCTAAAGTACCTGGTGAGTTGACCTACAATAATCTCTCTCTTTCAATGGTTGTGGTTGTACTACTGGTCTTTATTCAAAATATTATTAGAAATTGTTGTCGGATTGAGCATTACGCCTTGTTTCACTTAATCAATGCTATCAAGAGCTAGAAGCAGTGGCTTTACCAGTGCTATAAAAACTAGAAGTGGTCAATAGATCTAAAGACTAAAAAAAGGTCAATGGAGTAGGAGTCACAGGTCTGCTCCTTCAGCATAATGAAAGCTTATTTTCAAATAATAATTAGTCTCTTTCACTACACTGGTGGGGATTTGTTTGGGAAACCGACCTGTTGTACTAATTTCTATAAAATTTTACAATAGGTAAGGAGCAAGTTTGCAATAGTATTTAATCTTGAAAATTTAGCTTACATTGGAAGTAGTGAGAAAAGATATGGGGACTTATGGCCTCAATGAGGGAGGGCATGACCCTTAATAGGCCAAAATGGAGGACCGGGATTTGTGTAGCTGACCCCAATTAGTTGGTAAAAGGCTCTGATGATGAAATTTGGCGATGGTAACCTAAGGAATTTGGAGTGGAAATATATGAAGCTATTTCAAATGATATGTGAAAGGGACATGCAATAGAAAGTTTAGATATCTGATGAGATTATAATAGCGTATGAATGGTAGATTACCTTGAAGAAACAATCAGGACACTAGTTGTTTATACAAACCTAATTTATTTCCATTTATACATTGCTAGGGCATCCCAAATAGTTGGATGCTATTCTAGATAGGATATGAGGGGGACATGTACCTTGAAAAAACAATGAGAGAAGTCTGTTGATTATATGTCCTGATTCTTGAAGGCTTTGCAGGCATCATATTAAGAACATGGACTTTGGTATGGTCTAGATGATGACTCTATAATATCTTTTCCTTTATGCATGCTAAAAACCATAGTTGCAACTTGCAAAAGCATTAAGTCCACCCTGCTTGTGCCCTTTGGCGATTTCTTTGCTGTTCCTTAAGCACTACATGATAGGGTAACAATTCAAAGGATTCTTGAAAGTCTTTTAAGGATCTAAGCATTGAGTGACTGAGTAAATTCTTCTTGACTGTGGTAACAGAAAGACATTCGGTACTGTGATCTTCTCCTATAAGTAGGACTCACTTTTATGATAGTTTGGCATATTAACCATTTTAGCATGCTCTGTAAGGTACATCTGTTGGAAACTTCCTCAAAGATGGCATCTTTGGCCAAAGAACAGGTATAAATTACTGTATGGGAATTCTGGCTTCCGGCTCCATGTATTCTGTTCCCCCCAATCCGTCCCCATCTATTGAATCACCCAACATAACACAGGGCATGGAATTGAGGGCTAAAAGTAAGGACAGAACATTACCCAACATATGGCATTCAATTGAGAGCTAAAATAACCTCCCAAAATTTCTGAAAGAAAAACATAATCTGAAAATACGATACACTGATGTTCATTATACAGGGAGGAACTTACGCTTGTTGCTTATTTGCATGTAATTTGCCATTTCTTCTTGTTTTCGACCTCTTCTTTAACTTCAAAAAAGATAAGCTTCTCACTCCTCAAAAGGAGAGTCTCACTCATTTTTTCTCCCAGCACAGTTGTTCCGACAACCCTCTGGCTACAGATACAGGAAGTCTCAGAACTCCTCAAGGAAAAGATCGGTTACACTCTCGAACTAAAACCCTCAGAAATTCACCACGAAGAAGCAGGAACTGGCGTTTTTATTAAGGGTGAGGCAGAGGTTGGTTCAGTTGTGGCCTTTTACCCAGGCATCATATATTCCCCCGATTTTTACCGTTATATCCCTGGATACCCTCGAATTGATGCAAATAATCCATACCTAATCTCACGCTATGATGGTACAGTCATTGATGCCCAACCATGGGGCCCAGGTGGCGAGGCTCGGGAATTTTGGGATGGTTTTGCCTCTGCCAGAATTGGACAGAACGCACCAGAATCCAGTGGAAATTCTGACCGGTTTTGGAGGATTCTAAGCAAGCCATTGGAGTTTGGTGGCCAGAAATTTGGTGAGGTTTTAGAGAAGCGAAATCCACTAGCTAGAGGTCACTATGTGAATCACCCAGCTAAGGATTTCGAGCCTAATGTGATGGTTTGCCCTTATGATTTTCCATTTGGGGAAAATGGTATGAGAGTTTATATACCAAACTTGGTTTTTGGTGGCGAAGAGGGAGAGAATAAGAGAAATATGAGGAGATATGGATCTTTTTGGCTAAGGATGGGGAAGGCAGAGGATGCTGAGGCAGGGGTTTTATTGTTTAAAACACTGGTTTTGGTGTCCACAAGGAGGATTTCTGATGGGGAAGAGGTGCTTTTGAATTATAGGTTGAGTAATGCGAAAAGGAGGCCGGCTTGGTATCAACCAGTTGATGAAGAGGAGGACAAGAGGAGATGGGGGTAGCAAAAGCTGCTAAAATTTTCTTATCCTTTCCTCCTGGGAGATTATCAGAACAGTGCCTAGACCTACATAATTAGGCCGTTGATGGAAAAAATGAGGTGGGAGATTGGAGTTGTCAAGAAAGTTAGTTTATGATGGCAATGGGCCTTGGGTTGTTGCATTTCGGCAATTTTCTGATGGGTTTTAAGTGACTGTTGTATTTTTAGTTAACATGGTTGTGTTGGTGGGAGGCTCTATTTGTAGTTGATTTATTTGTTTAGTGATCTTAGATTATAGCGGTGAGAATCAACCCTTAAAAGGGGAGATGGGTGAGCAATAAGAGAAACTGGTATTTTCTTTTGCAGCTCTTTTCTCTCTTGGTTGCTTATGTTGTACTCTCTCTCTCTCTCTCATTTTTAAGCCCTCTGGACCTAGCCTTGGCTTGCTTCTGCCTATGAAGAAGTATGAGACCGGGTGCTGCTCCTCTCCTCCCGACCAGGTACTTCTCTTTGTTCTCTCTCACAATAGTTAATCTAACATTTTTTGCTGTGGTTATTGATTCGATTTGTCTCCTAGTTGCGTATACTAGTAGTGGAAACTGAGCTCATAGCCATGTTCAATCCTACCATGTAATATTGCTCATTTGTTTGTTTCAATTAGAAGGCTTTTATAATTGTTGGCTGTGTGAAAGAATGGATGAAGCGGACAATGCCTATCACAAACAAAGGATAATCGTCCTACATAAGAGAGAGAGAGGAGGGGGGGAGGGGGGGAAGGGGGGGGGGGGAAGGCGGGGGTGGTGGTTTGGGGCGGTGTAGGGTGGTGGTTGGCTAGGTAAAAGGGGCCGTTGGTAGCTGCTTATTGGCCAAGAAATATTTGAGAAGCATGCGAGCATTCCTCGGTTTAAAGGTGGGAACCTGGTGGCCGGCCCCCCTCACAGTTACGAACATTAGTCCATCGTATATCACTGTCCACCCACCTACCTGAAATTTTATCCAAAATGACAAGACAGAAAATTATATATTAGCATTTAGAAAATGAATTTTGTAGCTGAATACCGATGTTTTTTTTCCTCCCCGCAGAGAACTAGCGTTTAGCATTTGTTTTAGATTGAGAGAGACTACTTTGTGGATTATCAGGTGTCTTAGTTTGTCCTGATGCCTAGAGAGAGGCAGAGACAAAACTCTTTGTTTATTTTCCATGGGAAAGTCCAAGATATCATGCTTTAAGAATGTGTTTTCTTATACCTGTTTATCACTGTACCATGGAGCCCAATCAACTGTAATGTTTAGCCCCAGCTTTCTCAGTGTATACCTTGTTGATGTTACTGGGATTCTTCCATCTGTATCTCCACTGTAAAAACCAAAATGCATCCAGGGATGCACCTGTTACAATGACTCAATAATCCATCTTGGATATGGATTTTGGATCCAAAATCTTATAAATGTATCATTAGACGCCATGATCATGAATATGAAAAAAAAAAGAGAAGTTGAGGCTTGAAAATGGTTTATTGTCTTTTTCAGTGAGTTCGTTTTCTTAGTTCTGTGCTGTTTCTGCTCCAAATATATGAGTCTAAGGCCGACTAGGATCTAGACTGATTTGGGATGTGTTTTAGTTCTTAAATCCCTTGAAAAATAGAATGATACATGAGTCGGCTAGCTCACCAAATACTTTCAAGTACTGCAAGAGAGACATTTTTCCAGAGCAGAGTGTACAATAAGAATGTGTATTTTTCTACAAAAATGTCAGATAAACCCCTAATCATCAGGCATGAAATCCAGCAGCTGGGGTGTGCACAATTGACATCGCCTGGTGTCTAAGAAAATTTTCCTTGGTCTTTTTCCCAGAATATGACATCTCAGCTGTCCGGTTTTTCATCTGATAGCTAACTTGCCTGCGAACTTAATGTACGAAAGGGGACAATCTCTATGCATTCCTTTTTATCCTATTATAGTTTATATTCCTTTTATCCTATTATAGTTTACTATGATAGAGATCCCTTTTATCCTATTATAGTTTACCATGAAGATTTTACCTGTAAACCCAAACACGAAGACCACTATTGATGAGCTTCCGAATGGTTGGGAGCATAGAATGTGGTGCATCAGTCCACGTCCCATTGAATTGCTCACTGCTCAATCCCATGTCATTATGACAATTTAGAGAGAGATAATTGTTTTGCAATTGCAGTAAGCAAGACCTACCAGTGCTCAATTGAAAGGTTAAAATTAGGTCATTTTCATACATTGTAAAACAGCATGGTTTAATTTGATGTACCTGCAAGTACGCCATGGATATGGAATTTTAGTCTTATTTGCATGAAGAGCTTCCTGAACATCTTGCCTGTTAAAATATGCCTCTGCATAATTGGACATGCAAGGGTCGTATCCTGCAGGCATTTTATGCCAAGCCAGCTGCCGGAAGAAAAAAAAAAAAACAAAGGATGAAGAAGAAGAAGAATATATGAAATCACGATTAGCGAATGGGGATTAAATGGCAAGAAGTGGAGATAATGGAACATAAATGTGTATATATAAACAAAGAAGGAGAAAATTATCAAAATATACCTAATATATTGATTATTTTATATTCTGACCCTTTTCAACTATCCCAACTAACTTACGAATATGTGTATTTTAATGGGTATTTTGAACTTAAATCAAAAGTAGTCAATATAGTTCATCTCTTAGATGCATATTGATAAATGTCTCGTAAAGAGCCAAGCATGCGAGTAATTTAGAAAATCTGCCCAATTTAGAGATTTATACTTGGGGATAGAGAAAAAATTTGGTGAAATTGAAAATTAATATTCAAGGGAATGAAAAAGATAGTGAGTTTATAGCCAAATGAAAGATCAATCAAAGACCACCTGTTGTTGACACATGCCTACAACCTAACGGTCTGTTTGGATGGCACACCGAGTCTAGAGGAAGGGAGTTACATAGAAATATGTAGAAAACAATTTTAAAAAACTTTTCCTTTTGTTTTTGTTTGGGGTGTTTTGATGGGGAATTATGAATAGTACAGCAATTCAAACTGCACTGTTTTCCACTCCTAAATGTTTCAGCATTTATTCAATAATAGCACATAACATTCGTAAAAAACGAAAGCCTCCCTATTAGAGTTTTAGCCCCTATTTGTATCATTCAAAGGTAATTGATATTTATCGATCATCACTACAGCCTTATCCCACCTATTTGCATATTAGTACAATTCTTATCACAGGAAAACAATTTTTTTTTCTCCAGCTATTTCCAGTTGGGCCCCTTTTTCGGGGCATTTTTGACACACGTGGGTTGAGAACTTCAAATAGGGTTTGCAGGGAAACATATTGCTAGGGTTGAGGATGGGTTAGGTTCTGATCCACTGGTATCTGGATTCGAATCCAAAAATATATATGGGATCCGATCTGATTGGATTTAGAATATTCAGATTTAGATCCAAATTTGAAAAGTTTGTGGGATTCAGATCTGGATCCAGGATCTAATCCAAAATATTATTTTATATCTATAAAATAATATATAGTAAACAATATTATGTAACATATATGTATATATAAATAATATACCATATATTAATAATTAGGTCGGATCCAGATTGGATCCACTTGTACATGGATCCAATTCGAAACACTACTCAAATCCGTATCCGACCCGTCTGATCCAAATCTCGGACCCATACCTGCATCCGGATAGGATCCAAAATTCAGGTTTTGGATCCAAACCGCGTAAATTATCAGCCCTACGTATTGTGGAAATTTTTTGCAAATGAGCTGGGTCATGAAATGATACAATTATTGTTTAATGGTCCACACAAGCAGGTTCTTAACATTTTTGAAGAGCAAAGGATATACACTTTGAGAACTTCCAATGGAACAATCAAGAAGCAATCTAATGGAAGTAGTGGAGTCCATACATACTATGAAATCCAAAAGACTAAAAAGTAATGGTGACAATCAAAATACAAAATACCCCTGGTTGGAGCTTGTTCGTTCCAGTCTGCTCATTCGAAGTCCATCGAGCAGTCGAAACTAATAGTTTCAGACCTTTGTAAGAAATCAAATTTTGAAACTATTAGTTTTGGACTGATACGGCTCTTTACAATGAGCTTTAGTTTTGGACCGCTTTGATTTCCTAAAATAAAAAGGTCCAAAATAAATAGCTTCGGATCACTTTGATTTGTTACAATGAGTGGTGCAAAACTATTAAATCCAAATGGCTTTCGTTCCATACAATGAACCGCTTTGATTCTTTACAATGAGATGCTTGAAACCATTAGTTCTACACCACTTTGATTCCTTGCAATGAGTAGTTCAAAATTTTGAACCGTTTATTCCAAAAAAAAAAAAAGCATCAGCAAAGAATATAACATATAGGGAATATTTTTTAAGGGATTGTAGTACGAGAAATTTGTTTTTGAACTTTTAATCCAGTAAGTGACACTGTTATAACATCCCAATTTAAAATTTGAGGGACTCTCTTTTGTATACTTTGCCATTTATCCCAAGTTGTAAGAGATACTAGCACACTTTTCTGCCAAAACAAAATGCAAAGAGTTAATGCTTTTAGAAAACCTCTTGACATGCATAGATTCAAATTTTAGAAAAGAAGAAGGATAGAGAAATCTCACAAATTGGGAGAAGAATTTGGGTGCTACCCCCTCCAATTTAGGCAATTGCCTAGTTGTTGAATTTCCTTCGATGCAATGTGGGGTATACAAACTGTACATATCGATGATATTATACACATTGTAGTATTCCTCCATGCCCTCGATGCATTCTTGTATGTGGTCTGTTTGATTGGCTTCACTAAAATTGCAGTTAGTCTTAATATCGTCGTATAATTTATCTGATATCACGGCATGATCCCACGCGTAATCGATCATTCCCTTCTGATCAGTTTCATCATCCATGAGGGCGTTGCCTATCTGCGCGCGTGCAAGCACACGCACAAAGAGAGCGGTGGTAGAGTTGCAATTAGCTTTGAAAGGTAATAGAGATTAGGTGGTCAGGGAAGTGGGTGTCACAACATGATATCTTGAGTTTCAATTCTACAACACGTAGATGATCTTCAAAAGGTAATAGAGATTAAGTGGTCAGAGGAGTGTATGTTACAACATGATGTCTTGAGTTTCAATTCTACAACATGCAAATAACCCTTTCTCACTGATCTACCAAAAAAATAAACATCAATATATTTTCTTGCCAAAAAAAAAATAAGGCCAAAAACCTTGGAATCTCTCGTGTCACCCGGTTTTCTAATTTTTTTTCAAAATTTTAATAGGAACCCTGGCGCATTATGATTTTTGAAAAACTGATTGGAAAATATCAAATAATTTGTGGATAAATAACGAGAGTTCGTATTACTTTTCACTTCAAAATTTTAAGTAATTCATAATGTGGTATGTAGTGCTCATTTCTTCACAATAGGGATGATGGGGCTCATGAGGCATTTCAAAATGTCTTGAGGGCTTTTGCTAATTTTCCCGGTGTAGGAAATGAAGGGCATCTTGGTAATTTAAAATAAGAAAGAAAATTACCATAAAACCCTTAAGGTTAATAATATTCTCCTTCTTGGCCATCTTGTTGTGGTCAAAGATGTATTCAGCAAGCTGTGGGGCGTAGTGTCCTGGAAAGCAGCAACCATTACTTTTATTCTTTTATGGACAAATATCATTTAAGGGGGTTAAAATTCGTTATAAAGTAATTATGGGGTTAAAGATCTCAATTATAATTAGAGATTTTATTTTTTAATTTTCATTTTAATCTGATAATTTTTTAAAAATAGATTAAGCAACATCCAAATTGCCCTTGTTTAAGGTCTGGTGGTTTATACAAGGGGGCTGATTAAGTTGACTTATCCTATACAAGACAAAGGTACTTCCCTAATTTGGTTGGACCTCTTTGGCGGTTCAAATCAATGATTTGGGTATTTTTTAAAATATTTTTTGAAAAAGTTTCTTAGTGAAATAAATATTAATAAACAAATCTGATAAATTGATTGAGATGCTTTGATCCCCTGAGGATATTTTTGTCCACTTGAATGATTTTCTGTTGTTTTTTCACAAAATGGATAAATATATCATTTTTGCCATAGTGGTTTACAAAGGTGGAAACCAGAAAAATAAAATAAAATTACCAGGACCAAAGTTTTTTTTTTTTTTTTCAAATAAATTATCCACCCATTTAAACTAGCAATTGAGAACCAAAAAGGATTTTGTATACCTGCATAACTTTCCCCGTTATGTAAAAATCGTGGGATTTGTATTGGGGGAACCTCCGGAACCATTGGATCAGAAACTCGTAGGAATCTTGTGCTGCAATAAATAAAAAATATATAATATCTATATGTTAGCATAGAGTCTTCTCTTTTGTCCTTTAATCTCTCTCTAAAAAAGCAACTCTCAAGCTCAAGATCTTATTATTCTTTTCCATTTGAACAAGTACTTTATCCTCCATTTTCTTGTATGCGGATGATAAATTTGTTTGGGGAAGCTTTATGAGATCTTCCCATTTTTTATATCTAATGGCTACAAATAATTGTTACCTTCTTGTATAAAAGATAAATAGTATCGTAGTGTACAATCCCATAATAATTTTCCTTCTAAATCATGCTTTCTTGGATTTTTAAGGTGAATACTAATAATTTTCCTACTAAAATCTACTTTCATTGTTGGATTTGAATGTTAATTTGCCATATCTGAGTTAAACAACAATGAATAAAGCCCAGGAGTATATATAATCTACTACCGTGAGCGAACAAAATCTTTTGGCAGCGCACAGTACATTCATGTGTGAAATTGTGTGCTTGAATTTCATACTTATTGGTTGACGGTAAAATAGTTGAGATAAGTCTCGGATGATGATGATGAATTTATTACCTACTACTTTATCTCCCATGGTTTGAATATCTGATGATGTGTTAGTATACGAAAACCCAACACCCACAGGTGATTCCAAGAGCAACAAATTGGCTTCTGCATTAAGAGAAAAAGAAAAAGACAGGGGATCAGAAATAGGGAAAAAAAAAAAAGAATTAAGAGAGAGAAAGAGAAGAGCAATGATTTCATGCAACAGTTGCATCGCACTATAATACAACAACACTTCTAGACAATCATGCTTCTGTTATTTGTGTGATCCAAAATTTGGCATACACACTCTCATCATCTCAATTATCAATCCCAAAAAAAAAAGTTCAATTTGAACTCTAGATATGATCAAAATGAGTCCTTCCACAAACGAATCAAGACCATTCATTTGGTGAATTTCAAGACCTTAGTTTTTATAAACTCAAATCATTTTTTCCTTTTTTAACATTGTTCATCTAATGATAAAGTCATCCAAAAAGATTGGAAATGAAAAAATCCTTCTAAGACCTAGATTTAAGCCTCTCACGAAAATAAAATGAACAGCCTATGTTAATTGGGCTAAAAATATACTTTATGAGTGGTGTTTTCAATTTTTTTTTTTTTTTTGTTATTGTTCATTAAAATGAAAACAGTGTATATTTCAAAATTTGGATAAAAAAAACTAGCCAGTTTTTTAAAGCTCTTACATTATATTATGATGCAACCGTTGCATGAAATCATTGCTCGAAAGAGAATGAGGAACATTAAAGAGAGAGAAATAGTTTAATTATAGGGGAGATAATGAGTTGCCTTTATTCCAAGCATGGTGATTAAATGTGAGCTCTGCCTTCCCCTTTTGTACTAGAAAAGGACCTAGCTCTTGTGCTTCTCCAAACCCTATTGAGGAACATCCAGGCCCTTGAAAACAAAAATAAACAGCGATGATGATTGTGGATGCATGATCATATATTTGGACGTTTGTCAGCAAAACTATTTAGAAAGAAACAATTCAAGGCTTGTTAACGTTTTTCTATTACACTTCAAAAGAGAGAGAAACATGCAGTTCCCGTTAATCTATTGCAATTAGGGCATTAAACCTCAAAATCCACTAAAAATTGGGTCCTTCTTCTTGTGTGTGAGAGAGTGTAAGAGAGAGATTAGTGAGCAATTAGTGCATTACACTTCAAGATTACCATTGAGCAATTAGTGTATTTGACTTCAAAATCACACCAAAAGGATAGGTCCAGAGAGAGAGCAGAAGAGCCTAAAATGAAGGTGTAGAGAGAGAGAGAGAGAGAGAGAGAACCTGAAATGAAGGTGCAGAGAGAGAGAGTCAAGGCCAACACAGGCCAAAAAATACACAGTCAAAGCTTCCGCCGCACGTGCCAGGTAATATTGCTGAAGTAATTTTAAAAATAACATATATCCTTCCTTAAAACAAGGCCAGCATTCCATGCAACCTCACGTGCACATGCATGCTTGCATTTACGTGTTGACTTCATGCACGTAACTTAATTTTAAAAGAAGAAATTTAAATTAATAAATTAGGAACTAATTATTTTTAAGGCTATGCCCAAATAAAAAAAGTTACTTTAAGTATATTTCAATGCATTAAAGCTCGACATTCAAGGTCAAAAGACTTTAAGTTAGAGCAAAAATATCTAATCTCCCGTTAAGTAAATTATCTAGTATTAAAAAGAATTAATTAAAAAAATTTGAATGTTAATGAGAAATGAATTTCACTCAAAGTCCTTTTGACTATAGTCAATTTAAGGTGCTTTAAGAGTTTAAATAATAATAGAAAATTAATCTCGGAAAACCACAAATATTCCTGAAATATTCCCAGATCTGAATATCAGGAAAGAGAATCGAAGCAAACAGGAAAATTGAAGAATATTATGCTTTTAAAACAAGTAAACAACAGCTGTAAAAATTGACCAAACTGAGAGTGAGATTTCTTTTTATTCAAGTAGAGAGAGAGAGGGATTTCTTTTCATTCAGAGAGAGAGACAGAAAGGGATTTATTTTCATTTAGAGAGAGAGATATTTCTTTTCATTTAGAGAGAGAGAGAGAGAGTTATTTATGTCCTCGTGTTCTTCTTTCAGTGAAGATGAGAGGAAAAAAGTCAGATCTCACATTAAACAAATCGAAGTAATAAATTTTTAGTATAACCTTAAATAACTAATATATTTACTAATGCATAGAGATTGAAGAATGTTTACCATGGATAGGAATTCAGAGACCTTCATGCTCTCTTTGAGATAGCTATTTTGATATTACATGCAAGTGAAGCCTCAACGGTCTAGATTACATGTAGTCAGAATGAACGGTCTATATTTCGTAACATATATAATGGTTAAGAGAAATCAAAGCCATCCATTTGTTTGACTCATTTAAACTCATCATGTGATGAGTTAAATTTTCATTAACTTAAATAAAACAGAGTTTGTTTCCATACGGTCTTCAATCTTTTCACCAAGGATTTGGACAAATCTTCACATTGATTAGTTTGATCGACAGTCTAGATTTCACATTGATTAGTTTGAATACAGTACAGTTCTGAAGCACAGCATTAGCAACGATGAATCTGAACCATCAATTTGTGGCAACAATCGAATCGAAAACTTAAAGTTACTATTTGCTATGAGAGATTAGTATATGACTAATCTGAACATCTGATGGCTAAGGTGCTGCCAAGGGACTGTAAGAATCTTAATTGCACTGTTGCAATACTTTCCTTAAATCTATATATCCACGAAAGATCAAATAAATCAAACAAACAGTCTAAATCCCGATTCTGATAAAGCTGAACCCTCTAATTTATGAAATCTATAATTGTTAAGCTACATTTTATAGCTGAAAAAATAGCTTAATTTCCTAATAATAATAGATAATTAAGGATAAGAACATACAAGTTCTCTCTTGAAATCTTGAAAATGGCCTAAATTCCTGAATACTAATTGGATAATTACTCATAAGAACTTAAATGCAGCTGTTTGAACTTCCACAAAAAAGTCTGCATAAAATTGTTCATAAGAACTTTTTAGTGAATAATTATTCATAACAATTGGGTTACCTCCATTAAGCCACAGCACTAATGGCTTCATTTCCGGCTTCTTTTCCGCCTCGAAAAACCAATAAAAGAGAGATTTTCCATGAAATTGATCTATATTTATATAGCCAGCATAATGCAAGAAATTAACTGGTGGTTGGCCTGGAAGTTTTATTACACGATCAGCCTCTTGCTCATCTTTTGGAGAAGCAAAAGTGGTGGAAAAAATGGCCAAAAAAATGCAGACAAAACAAAGAGTAGAAGCAAAAGAAGACGAAGAAGCCATGGCCAATATTTTGGGGTTAAAGAGAAGGTTATGGGCTTTATATACAGTTTTTTGGCTTGTGCTTTTCTGTTAGATATCTTGGATATCAAAGTCACAGCTATGTAACTTTTGGAACACTTCTTTGAATGGAGTGCGTTATGACAGAAATAACCTTGGATTTTGTGGATGATATGGGAACGCCCTCGATTAATTTTAGTGTATGGTTTTTCTGGTTTTAATTTTTGTATTTTAGAACCTCGAGTTGGATGGACTCATCGAGGTCCGGGTATGGACCCTAACCCGAGACCCTATGGGTCAGACACGAAGGTCCATCCTAGACTTGCCCAAGTGGGGTGAGGGCCTGCATCATAATCCAAACCCGAGTATATACATTCATGATATAATACAAAAAAGTGTTGTTTGCATAAGGTTCCAACCTTAAACGTGCACCTCCATACTTTATCATGAGATGCAATATGAGTATTGAAAATTCTTAAGATGGTTCGAGAATTTATTTTTATATGTAATTACAAAATTTTAAATTAAAAAAATAGCTCAAATAAAGTACAACCATAATGTATGAAAATTTTGGAAATGAACAGTCCAGATAATGTGTTGCAAGATAAACTATTTTTAGATCTTTTTTTCTCTTTTTTTCTGCATATCATACATCTTCATAACGAGATGATCAATTATATATGGGAAAAGCTTATATGGAGCCGAGGCTCTAAACAATCAAATTTGAACTTACCTCAAAACTTTCACTAGAAGGAGTTGTTTTAATGCCCAAATATCCTCAAATTGATCATCTCGACATCAAGATGCATGAACATGAGAAAAAAAATGGATTTCAAATCTTGGAAATAGTGTATTTTATAATGCGTTTTTGGACCGTCAATTTTCAAGATTTTCAAGTTTTTGTTGATCTACATTATTTTTGAAGCTTTAGATTATTTTATAAATAAAGATAAAAATATTTTGAAGGTTATCACAAAGATTTCCAAAACCGTATTTTTCGACACTATTTAAAAGTAGGCTCTAATTTGTTTGGTTAGAGCCTAGGCTCTATACAAATCACACTCATTATATATTTCTCCAACATCAGCACAACATTTTTATAGGATTCTAGAGGTGCACCATATTTCTACATTTTAAGGTGTCAACTTTATGTAAGCTTTTTTTATAAAATATATAATACATAAAACCGTATATCATATCTTTTAGGGGTCTCGGTCTAGTCCTCAAACTGAACCGGTTAGATCATCTCAAACCGATATGGACCCAATAATGTCCGGTTTGAATCCGTGTCCAGTCAACCAGCCCCATTTACAGGCATAAATTTCAAAATGCATTTGCGTCTTAATTAGTTCCATCTTGTTTTTTTTTTTTTTTTCTTTTTTAGATTCATTTAAAATATGATTGATTATAGGGAGTAGATCATTCATTTCCTATGCTTATAGGCGCAAAAAAATAATAAAAAGAGTTTATGGAATTTAAGAATAGAAAATCGTTTCTTTGTTCCTTTCTCATGTAATATCTGATTTTTATTTCCTTTGCTCTTCCTTTTTCTCATTTTCCCCAACATTTTCAAGTGATAAGAAAAGCAAGAATTTCAAATAATCTCTCAAGGAAATCAAATTTAGGTTTTGATCCTCTTCTTTTTTCTTTTTCTTTTTTTGAACGGTTGATCCTTTGTCTCTCTTATGTGGTGTTCGTTCCAATAAGTCAAACAATCAAAAGGGATACTACAGGCAATATCCCAACTGGAAGCTAGGAGATCTTGTATGACTAGCCTAAGTGAATTTTATTTTGCCCCGTTTTAAACTTAATGTACGAGATTGTATAATGTGAGATTATTTTCTTTTGTTAGAAAAAGGTCACAGTTACTACTAACCATTAGATGTCAAATGGATGATTTGAGTTGTGTTATAAAATTCAAGATTTTTTTATTTTATTTTTTTGAACTTTGAGTCTAGTCAAGTGCATCTAACCCTCTTGTATTAAAAGCACATAGTCTCATTATATACTTTTTGTAATTTTATATTTCAGTTTATATTTGTCATTTTCTTAAGAATAAAAGATTCCTTTGTCTTTCTGGTCAAATTAAAAGGTCAGAACTTTGAGTACGATAAGGATAAAATGCCACACTAACTCATCTAATTTGAGTACACCTTTAATAAGGGAACTAATATATGGAGATACTTGGTTTTGATCATAATATAAAGCAAAAAAGACTATAAGTTGCTTAAAAATGGGAATTAAAATAACGAGATACTTGGCTTTGACTATAATATAAAGCACAAAAGCCATAAGTTGCTTTAAAATGGGAAATAAAATATGGAGATACCTGGCTTTGACCATGACATGAAGCAAATTGCCCTTTTCAAGTCTCCTTTTACATTTAGGGCAGTATTCTTGGAGGAAATGAAGGGCACATTGTTTATTGCAACTGCATACATTCGATAAATGGTAAAAACCAAATAGACATATCTTGGAGAAATTTATGTACGTATCACAAAAAAGACTTGGCATTACCACATGGTTCATATTTTTGGACAATACTATGTTTAGGTCATGACTTTTAGATGTTTTCGTATTCTCATTTTACCCCTGGATCCAAATTGTAACTTTCAAACTGCCTAAAATAAAATGGAAAAAGAAATTCAAAGAAAGCATAACCTCATGTCCAAAAATATGGAACATGCCATAATATCACATATGTTTTAGAGCATGTATACTATGTTCCCGCAGAGCATGTTGTGTATCTACTCCCTTGCTCCAAAAACTTGTTTAAGAAGTTTTTTTTTGTCTAAAATTTTAGGAACCACATAAAAATTACTAGATGGTTATTTTCAAAAGAAAAAATTTGAATTCTGATTTCTGTGACACTTTGATCCAGCTCTTCAAAAATGGGACAGCCTCTATTCAATTCAATCTTGAGGCATTAGTTTTTTCTAGTTCATAAATAGTTAATTTCATAAATGCTTTTTAATTGATATAAGTATATAAGTTGTAGAGACTATAGCCCTAAATTTTTAGATCTAAACAATGTCCCTAGCATGCATTTTGCCCGTGCGAATAAATAGATAGTATACTCCTGCAGGAGTAGAAAATCTTGTAGGTGTTTTTTATCCCTACACTCTATATCTTATCAGATTGTAGGCAATAATACCAATTTATCGTTCCATACAAGGAGGTCACAATTACTTACATCTATCTGACATAAAATCTAATAGCTTGGGTGTATTACAAAGTTCGAGAATTTTTTTTTTGAAGTTTGAGCTTGTTCAATGGAAGAAATACAGCCATCCAATTTTACATCCAATGGTCGAGACTAATTGTGACTACTTTGTACCAAAGATAAATGATTTCATTATATACATTTCCATATCTTATTGTTGCCCTATTTCCAAAGTTTTCCTGTAAATCCAAATAAGCAGACCACCATTTATGAGCTTTTTGATAGTTGAGAGCATGGAATGTCATTTGTCATTCCAATTCCAGATGTTGTCCTCTCTGTTAATGAATGAGAGAGAGAGAGAGAGAGAGAGAGAGAGAGAGAGACAGTAGTAGTAAGTAAGGAAGAAACTAAAGTAGGTTAAGGTAAAGGTAAGTAGTATACTACTACTACTACTACGTAACGGTAAGGTAAGTACTCTCTCTCTCTCTTCGTTCGTACTAAGTA